GAAGACTACAATTACAGTTCCAGGGATTTTCGTTGAGGTTGAGCCCATGAAGTGCTTTTAGTGGTATGAGGAACTCATGGAATAAATGAACTAACATGTTGCTGGAAAACTTTAAAATTTCCAACATGGAAAGACATCGAAAAGCCTTCGGGTCAACGCTGTGTATTCGGTTGTGTGAGAGGTCCAAGTGTACGAGATCTGGCACGGGAGCAAAAGCATCAGCAGGGATGATAGTGAGAGCGTTACTGGCGAGACGAAGCTCCCGCAGACCCGAGATATCGATGAGTGCAGCGGTAGGCACCGACCGCAGGAGATTGTGGCTCAGGTCCAACTCCACGAGGTTGGCCAGCATGTTGAAGGCGCCTCGATCCATGTGCTTGAGGTTGCAGTAGTTGAGCCAGAGCTTCTGCAGGTTGACCAGGCCGGTGTCGACGAAGGCGTCGCGAGGCAGGATCTGCAGGTTATTGTGCTTCAGGTCTAACACCTGTGTGGACGGGTCAAGATTGCGTGGGATATCGATGAATTCCGCGCCGATGCAGGCTACAGTCTCCTTTCCGTCTTTCCACTTGCACTCGCACACTTTTGGGCACTCGCCACCTGCACCACTTGCCACCCAAACACCCAAACACACCCACACTAGCGCCTGTATTTTTAATGTCCTACCAGACTGACGAAGTCCGCTATAAGACTGGAGTATACTCATCATATGACGGGTGAAGAGTCACCATCCTAGGAGACGTCCACGCTCAGTCCTCGACGTGCAGTGAGGGCCACACTCTTCCGGATGATCAGCGGCCGTCTTCACACTCGTCCGGATAATAAGGAGCCGTATTCACACTCGTCCGGATGATCAGGAGCCGTATTCACACTCGTCCGGATGATCAGGAGCCGTCTTCACACCCCGAAATGTACACACCACCCGCCGGAGTGCTCCTCATTGTAGAGGCCACGGGGGCATGTCATCTACAGTCTGTGTGTCCTGTGTAAGGCTGCATGTAAGACTTCGTGTCCATTTGGGTAACAGTACACAGTACCGAAATTTGATCCGAGTCTGTATCTCTCTCTTTCTTTGCCCTCGAGATACTTTGTGTAAAAGTACCCGGACGAATCACCAAGTGTGTGTCATTGTGTCTTTTAAATTGATATTAGGTGAAGAGACTGTCCCAATGAAACGCAGAGCAGACGTCATTGCAATCCTTAGTCAAACTTCTTTTATACTGAGACATCTTGGCAGTGCCTTAAGAATGTAGTCTGATGTTACACTTCGTCTAAGATCTAATCCCAATAAAAATAATAATAAAAAAGTATATTAATAGAAGGTAAACAGGGAATGAAAGGTGCGCATTTTCTTTCAATACGAGTCGCCACAATACGCAGCAGTAAGATCTGTTAACGTTCAGTTATGAAAGTGGATAGCACTTTTCGCCCTGGTAAAGTGCTATTCAATCTCGTGATAGCCACCTGCGCCAATATCATGTACGTTCCCTTGGCACGGAGTTTTAAGGGTCACTCAGCACGGCGGCATCCCCATTCATCTGTCAGACACAGCCTCCGATATGCACTTCATTATCTAACGAGTGAGTTAGTGGCATTGATGTTCATCACTTATTAATTATGCGTGCATCGTTGCGTATGTCGACTGAACACACTGTACGTATCTATGGCACTTACGTACGTTGCTCCATACGTCGTGTTGGCACTTTGTAGGTCGTGTTGGCACTGTGTACGACGAATGGCTGGCGCAAGAAGACGTCTCTGTCTCACGGTGTCGGACACAAGCGTTCTGCACGTCGGCTCTTTGAGTACCTTCCCTTATACAACACCTACGTGTAGCTTCATTGGGCCGAGTTCACTTTGATACAGTATGTGCCAGCTTTATGGAAACACATCCGGCGCCTTCTGCTGGATTGCAATTTATTTGAAGACCAAACGGAAAACGGCATAGATTCGAGTTATTGACAGATATAATATGTTTTCGTGTAGAGAAATGATTATCACATATTTTAGTGTCAAATGGCATGAAAGTTTGTGATATGTTCAACTGTTTCACTTGTCTGTTTCAATGTTGCATTGTATACACTTTTATTTGTGTTCCGTTTGTTTACATTTCCGTAAAATTAGTGGCTCTTGGAAGACATATCTGATAAGCGTTTCATGTATGAGAAAATATGTTTCATGCAACTTCACACTTGCTCACTGACTTATAAAAGTGGGTAAATAGTCTTTCTCTCTCTCCCTCCTGGTGATCTGAAAAGTAAAAAAAAATATTACGTTTAAAAATGTAAATTTGTTAAACTTTTAGCATGTGGCTTTTTTGTTTTCAAATTGAATTAGATCGTTCTCAATATCCTAATGGAAAACATTGTGCTTTTACACATTTTCCCTGTGTGTGTGTACTCGCCTACTTTTACTCGGCTAGTTATGCTTGCGGAGGTTGAGCTATGGCTCTTTGATACCGCCTCTCAACTGTCAATCAACTGGTGTACAGTTTTTTCGAGTCTACTTGGCTCTATCATATCGACATTTGAAACTTTTAAGAGAGTCTGTCTCCACCACATCACGGCCTATTGGATTCCATCTGTTAACTACTGACACACACACACACACACACACACACACACACACACACACACACACACACACACACACACACACACACACACACACACACACAAGTTCTTCATAACGTCTCTCTGGTTCCTTTGGGCACTGAATTTTTATTTGTCCCCCTAGTGTGCGGGCCTCTTTTGTTAAACTGTCTTTATCTTGCCTATCAATTCCTCTGAGTATCTTGTATGTTGTGATCATGTCCCGCTAACTCTTCTGTCTTGTTTAAGTGTGTGAATATTTACTATTTGTACCTGCAGAATCGAGCTATTAGCTCTTGGACCCCGCCTTTTTAACCAATCTATTTTTCGTCTCTTAAGTCCACTACATATATTTCTCTCTAACACACACACGCGCGCGGGCGCGCGCGCGCACACACACACACACACACACACACACACACACACACACACACACACACACACACACACACACACACACACACACACACACACACACAGGCTGGTCCACCACCACGGACCACCAGGCTGGTCCCGGAACCGAGATGAATGAGTTACGCGGAAAGGCTAAGGGAGCTGAACCTCACAACCCTGGAAAACAGAAGAGTAAGGGGAGACATCATGACCACCTACAAAATTCTCAGGGGAATTGACAGGGTGGACAAAGACAAACTCTTTAGCGCGGGTGGGACACGAACATGGGGACACAAAAGTTGAAACTTAGTACCCAGATGAGCAACAGAGACGTTAGAAAGAATTTTTTCAGTGTCAGAGTAGTTAATAAATGGAATGCATTAAGTAGTAGTGTGGTGGAGGCTGACTCCATACACAGTTTCAAATGTAGATATGATAGAGCCCAATAGGCTCGGGAATCTGTACACCAGTTGAGAGGCGGGACCAAAGAGCCAGAGCTCAACCCGTGCAAGCACAACTAGGTGAGTAGAGGAAGCAGCCCGTAGCAGTTGAACTACCAGGTACCTATTTACTGCTACGTAAACAGGGGCTTCAGGGTAAAAATAATAACTCTGCCTACTTGTTTCTGTCTCAACTGGGAATCTTACCGGGGCCCTTAGGACTGCGACCCCAGAGCGCTGTCCACTCAGCTGCGAGGCCCCTGGAGTGTGTGTGTGTGTGTGTGTGTGTGTGTGTGTGTGTGTGTGTGTGTGTGTGTGTGTGTGTGTGTGTGTGTGTGTGTGTGTGTTCGACAAGTTAAATGTTGAGGTATTCATTCCCTTAATTGTTTAAAATCTAGTAAACCTATATGTTTTTAAATTTGAAGATGGACTAAATTTAAATGAGACCAGATCTTGTTTTGGTGAAGCACAACTTGAGTGTGACAATACACGCGCTCCTCTCGTGTTTGTCAGTCAATAATATCCACCTCTGTGTTTATTTTTGTCTTAACGATTCCTGTAATTGTCTTTCCCTTCTAGTGTCTATTCATTTGGAGTCTTCGGCACAGAGGTGGCGTCGTTTTTTTCAGGTCCATGTTCGATCCCCGATGGTCCAATTAAGTGGCTGGATACAATTCCTTCTCGTCGTCCACAAACCACAACCCCTGGTCATCATCTCCCTTCCAAGTCATACTGGCTTATCGCTGTTTCTGCATAATATTTACTGTTGCATCTTCATAATTTCCTTATCTTCTGGCGAGCATTTCTGCAGTTCTCTGCATAAGTGAAGCGTCGACGTTGTATTTCGAAGCCTTCGTTATACCTTCGCGTACTCCAAATTGACAAATAGAACACATCTGCTGCCTCCATCACCACTGTTTCAGTGAATACAATCCAACACGACTTCCACGCAGAGTGCCTCAGTCCTTGGGTAGGGCTGACGTTTCCTGAAGACTGTTCAGTAGCCGCATGGGTATTCGGTCCTCCTGCAAAGCAGAGCCAAAAACGAATTTATTGCGAGGCATCAACGTAATTGCCAGTCAGAGGAGATAAAAACGCTGAAGTGATACATCAACGCAATTCCCATCAGAGCGTAATAAAATCAGCCAAAATCACTCGGATAATCAAATTGACGAAACTTGTCATGTTCGGTAATTCTCCATTACTATACGTCAATTATCAATCCAACTTTATATAAATATTATAATATATATATATATTAATGTTTAATTGAAGATGACTGCATATTTCGTGATGATTATTTTCTTATTTAAGGCTTCTATTCCGCTGACTAGTGTTCTTGCGTCTTGGATTAATTGGAAGAGGATTTCTCCAAATGTCTTATTTGTTTCAAGTTCACTAAAACAATAAGTTAACTGTTGAATGTATTGCACTTGTACGTGTTATAAATTTTCACAACGTTTCGAACCTACTAGGTTCATTCTCAAGCGAGGAGAGAAGAGATGGTCCTATCGGATTTATATTTATATGTTCTTTAACTTGGAAATGAACCATGTAGGTTCAAGTGCTGGACACGCCAAGGTACAGAGAACCCTGGCTGTCAAGGTTCGAATCCTTCAGGGGGGAAGTTTTCTGTTGAATGGTCCCCCAAGATAATATGCAAGCTTGTTCGCATATAATAATAATTAATAATGTATAATCATAAGATTACATTTAAGTCTCCTAGAGTGTGGGAACCGACCTGTGAGATTTATATTTATTTAATTTATATGAATTTATATTTACGTTAATTTATATACTTCGATAGCAATTTGTATAATGATAAGTGGACTGTATTTCTGCGATAATCTCATAATCTCACAAATCGATCCTCTACACATTAGGGGGGGTTTATATTACACATATGCAGCCAATCAAATTACAGTAATAGCTACATACATTGATGAGGTTCCTTATCTTATAGTACAGCAGGTTAGTCCACCAGGTATAACTAGGGTGTAGACACCAAATTATCCTCTTTGAGGTAGCTTCCATATCACCCAGTAACTGGTGCACAATCTTGCATCCTCGTCTTGACCTGTCAAAAGTGCGCTAGCTGTGAAGCCAGAATCCTATATATGACAAGTATATCAGAGAAAACAGTACATGGAACATGAGGACCTGGCTTAATTACCTTTAGTATGAGGCGATTTCGCGTTCTAACCGGGTCACCCTATATAATGACATTAATGGCCACTAATGATAGATAATGGGTTTCGGAAAGAACACTTAACTTGATATGTTGACAGCGTGTTGACAGATGGTACACCTTTGGTATCCATAACACTACGTCCAAGTAAAATTAACAGGAGCCGAATTTGCTCCCGTGTGAGCCTCTGGTCTCGTATAAACAACAATGGCTGCCCTCCTCCTCACTCTGACGCCTGGCCTACTTTGTCCAGATTTCAGAAAGTGATAGAAGGGTCACATTTACTCTACTTTAATATTGATAATTAAGTTAATTTATATAAGATGTTTTTATGATGGTAAAGTCCAAAGACTAATGTATTTAAGAACAATTCCCAGCAGAATAGCTGGTGAATTATAATAGTATGTGGTGAAGATATCCCGTTTTCTATAGACGGTAATTCCACTACAAGTTACGTTTTCTATGGGTAACTTGTTGGTAATACAGCAGAAATTATTATCTGTCTGTATGATATATTAAATGGTGTCGGATTTTCCGACATAATTCCCCAGGGGGCTGCTCACGGGTCGAAGTCCTCCTTAGAACAGACGAACACCGATACTCCTCCTTCGAATTATTAGATTAATTTGATGTTAGTAGTTAGTAATCACACATTTGTGTGTCTGTTCGTACAGGACGGATGTCCCGTACTAGAGTTGCAGGGGTTAGAAGTCTAATGCGATTTCATTTCCCTGTCAACTCTTGAAAGGCTAATATTCAAGCCTTATTACTTATTATTTAACCCAGAAGACTGAATGTGATCAAGTACTACAGTCAAGTATGATTCAGGGACTGCAGTGAGATCAGTGACATTAGATATAACTTGAAGTTTCTTCAGGTAACTGGTCACTGATATATAAACACTGAGGCCCATGGAATACATCTTGATTAAATAATAAATGTATCAAATCAGTCATCAGATTTATTGGGGTTTAATTTAGTTAATTGATTCAGAAGATTGAATAGCTCATCAATAAAGTAAAGTATGGTTCTGAGACTGCAGTGGGTTCAGTGACATTGGTCGCAGTGACTTGTAGCTGTTTTAGGCTACTGTTCACTGATTTGCCACTGAGGCCTCATGAACTCATCTTCAGCTTCAAATGATGATACTAACATCAACCTCTGTTACTATAGTCAGCTGTAATCTCCTTAGTATAATGCTACTGGAGAAATATAATCAGCTGACAAATTTAGATTTCTACTGGTATTGTTTATCTGCAGGCATAGGTCTCCTCAGGCTTGATACTGGGCCTGAGAGCAATTTACCTCCTGCAGAGTTTAACATGGTTATGCCCTGATATTTAGTAGGGCTACCAATGAATTGATGGTAGTAGTCTGTCCCCACAAGGACAGCCATTTGGCATTTGATTTGCTCAAATTTACCTGCAGCTGCTTGATAATAGCTTTCCAGGTCAGCATAATCAACTTGAGATTGTTGTGACAAATCTTCACATTTCTTGATCTGTCTTGTTAAGTGGCCTTTAAGACCTGCAAGGGTTCTTTTCATTCTCCCTGCATTATCCATACTGGCTCGTTGGTGAAGCCTTGTGGGACTTGTACTTGGGCTGCTCATAATACTGAACAAGCTCTAATGGTAGCCTAGGGTAAATTCTGAACTCACTAGGCAATAATCCTACCTCTACTAGAGGTTAGCACTTAAAATTAATACACATTATATATATACAATCATCCACACTAATGATTTGAGTGATAAACCAGTGTCACTGGAAGTACCTTTAGGTTAGCTCTTCTATATCACCCTAGGATGGTAGAGACACTAATTAATCACTCAAAGGTGTAATGATCATAAGTAATTTATTATATATACAACTCAACTCGAGTTGATAAAAATTACACCCAAAATAGGGTCTGCACCATTCATTAATGGTGTTAGGTTGTTCAATATAGTACAACTGACTATAGTAATAATGGGACTAGGATGAACAATAATAGTTCAACTAGTCAATGGTAATATCCTACCCTGTTGTGGGTTGGCAATTAGTAAATATTATACTGTGATCACTAGTGCAATATATATTAAATAATTCTCTATTTTGGAGAAATAATATACACAATTATTGATAATAGCCTCTTAATTAGCCTCTATGAAACTTCTAATATTATCAAGAAGTATTAAATATTATTAGTGACCTCGCGAAATAAAGTCCACAAAATTCGTGGATAATCTCGCGACACAGTCACTAATTTGGCTGGATTCTATATTAGCGCTGTCATTTCACGAAATAACACGCCACCAAATATCTGTGGGTGTGCATGAAACCGCTGACGAAGCTGAACTGGGCTGAGGGAGGCTCCTGAGCTCCCTCGAGGCTACGCTGCCGTCTTGACTGCTGGCTTTGTTTAATAACACTGCACTAGTATTTAATGAATCCACTGGTTAACTGGTTCATCCGGTACTAAGATGACCAAATGTGGGTTCATAGGACCGAATATTCCGGTTCCGAAGGACCATATAATGTGGGAACCGACCTGTGAGATTTATATTTATTTAATTTATATGAATTTATATTTACGTTAATTTATATACTTCGATAGCAATTTGTATAATGATAAGTGGACTGTATTTCTGCGATAATCTCATAATCTCACAAATCGATCCTCTACACATTAGGGGGGGTTTATATTACACATATGCAGCCAATCAAATTACAGTAATAGCTACATACATTGATGAGGTTCCTTATCTTATAGTACAGCAGGTTAGTCCACCAGGTATAACTAGGGTGTAGACACCAAATTATCCTCTTTGAGGTAGCTTCCATATCACCCAGTAACTGGTGCACAATCTTGCATCCTCGTCTTGACCTGTCAAAAGTGCGCTAGCTGTGAAGCCAGAATCCTATATATGACAAGTATATCAGAGAAAACAGTACATGGAACATGAGGACCTGGCTTAATTACCTTTAGTATGAGGCGATTTCGCGTTCTAACCGGGTCACCCTATATAATGACATTAATGGCCACTAATGATAGATAATGGGTTTCGGAAAGAACACTTAACTTGATATGTTGACAGCGTGTTGACAGATGGTACACCTTTGGTATCCATAACACTACGTCCAAGTAAAATTAACAGGAGCCGAATTTGCTCCCGTGTGAGCCTCTGGTCTCGTATAAACAACAATGGCTGCCCTCCTCCTCACTCTGACGCCTGGCCTACTTTGTCCAGATTTCAGAAAGTGATAGAAGGGTCACATTTACTCTACTTTAATATTGATAATTAAGTTAATTTATATAAGATGTTTTTATGATGGTAAAGTCCAAAGACTAATGTATTTAAGAACAATTCCCAGCAGAATAGCTGGTGAATTATAATAGTATGTGGTGAAGATATCCCGTTTTCTATAGACGGTAATTCCACTACAAGTTACGTTTTCTATGGGTAACTTGTTGGTAATACAGCAGAAATTATTATCTGTCTGTATGATATATTAAATGGTGTCGGATTTTCCGACATAGAGTTCAAGCATCAGCAATGAACTTCATACCTAGTGGACAGCACTTGTGTGTCCCCATCTGTTTTCTCTATCACCTCTTGGTGTAGGAATCACTCCCTAAGATTGACTTGCCTGGAATAGCAGCTGGAATGGCCTGGGTGTCCCATTCCCCGCGTTACAGAGTTCCAGGAGACGTGCGGATCTCTGTGATAGCCTTGTATAAGAGTGATGGTGTCGTTTTCCAGTCCTGAAGAACGGCACTGAACGCCTTTGGCCGTGAGGGAAGGATTCCAGCTCGCAAACAAATGCTCAAGTAACGTTTAACGCAGGGTCAACATTATTTGTGTTAACTGTAACGTTAATTCCAGGTCGATGCGTCGTTATTCACTAACGTCGTTGGCTAAGGTGTGCCCTTTGGTCTGGGGATGATTGCAGGGTGTTGCAAGAGGAGGGTTGCAAGGTCATAGCGCCTCTGGACGAGTGATGACTATCTTGTGGTCAAGCGTAGCTTATCTGAGTGCAAAGCTAGACTGTACCTGTGTACTCTGTACCTTGGTACCACATATGGTATGGTACCATATGTTGCAGCATGATACCACTCTGCGTTGAGAGATGGTAATGAGCCCAGTACCAGTCTACGGTGGTGTCGAGTACCAGTCTACGGTGGTGTCGAGTACCAGTCTACGGTGGTGTCGAGTACCAGTCTACGGTGGTGTCGAGTACCAGTCTACGGTGGTGTCGAGTACCAGTCTACGGTGGTGTCGAGTACCAGTCTCCGGTGGTGTCGAGTACCAGTCTCCGGTGGTGTCGAGTACCAGTCTCCGGTGGTGTCGAGTAGCAGTCTACGGTGGTGTCGAGTAGCAGTCTACGGTGGTGTCGAGTAGCAGTCTACGGTGGTGTCGAGTAGCAGTCTACGGTGGTGTCGAGTAGCAGTCTACGGTGGTGTCGAGTGACCACGCGAGTTACATGTTATACAGCACGTTGTCCATGGCTGAAGAGACTCTCCAGTGGTGGTCAAGGACTATTTCCAGGGTGTTCCACATCCCCAAAGAGTTAAGGTTCAGGGCAGACGAGTCGGCAGCGGTTCTGGGGGTCAAGTTAGGGAAGGTTCTCTACTCAGTAGAGGAGAACAAGACCGTGGATGAGAACATCTCTGCTAGTTTGTAAATAATGAACAATATCATATATTTTTTATATGGCTGTTAATACCACTAAAGTGATTTTTTTCAGTTCCTGGGAACAGCTGCTACATGAAATTAACCGAACTCATTACTGGTAGATTTCTGGAGATCTTATGGCGTCTGATTTCAATCCTAAATAATGATTGGTAATATATGTATATTGCGTGCACGCGCGTGCGTTTGTGTGCGGGGTGGGAGAGTGTTGGTGTGTAGTTTGTTTTTTGTTCTTCCTTCAGTATACTTTCTTGCTTCAAAATACCTTCTTGCATCAGCACACCTACTGGCATCAGTCGGTTTTCTTGCCTCAGCATACATCATATACATCATGTATGTTTATATATCCGCAACATATAGGTTGAAGCATATAAATCGATATGCGTCTCCATATTGCATCATCTTTTCCAGCGTCATTCCCCTATCTTGTCTGTCTCTCTCTCTCTCTCTCTCTCTCTCTCTCTCTCTCTCTCTCTCTCTCTCTCTCTCTCTCTCTCTCTCTCTCTCTCTCTCTCTCACACACACACACGACTTGCTGTTGGTAGAATATCTTTATTGTTCCTTGATGTCCTTCGGGAAAGGACAATTCCTGATGTCTCCCGGCGGGGCCCAAGATGTCTCCTGGCGGGGCCCAAGATGTCTCCCGGCGGGGCCCAAGATGTCTCCCGGCGGGGCCCAAGATGTCTCCCGGCGGGGCCCAAGATGTCTCCCGGCGGGGCCCAAGATGTCTCCCGGCGGGGCCCAAGATGTCTCCCGGCGGGGCCCAAGATGTCTCCCGGCGGGGCCCAAGATGTCTCCCGGCGGGGCCCAAGATGTCTCCCGGCGGGGCCCAAGATGTCTCCCGGCGGGGCCCAAGATGTCTCCCGGCGGGGCCCAAGATGTCTCCCGGCGGGGCCCAAGATGTCTCCCGGCGGGGCCCAAGATGTCTCCCGGCGGGGCCCAAGATGTCTCCCGGCGGGGCCCAAGATGTCTCCCGGCGGGGCCCAAGATGTCTCCCGGCGGGGCCCAAGATGTCTCCCGGCGGGGCCCAAGATGTCTCCCGGCGGGGCCCAAGATGTCTCCCGGCGGGGCCAAGATGTCTCCCGGCGGGGCCCAAAATGTCTCCAGGCGGGGCCCAAGATGTCTCCCGGCGGGGACAAGGTGTCTCCGGGCGGGGCCCAAGATGTCTCCTGGCGGGGCCCAAGACGTCTCCTAGCGGCCTCAGCACAGCGTCGCCTCACACTCTGCAAGCAGACCAAAGACAACACTTGAGATAGCTTTGATTATTTCAACAACTTTTTCGAGATCTAATTACTGTAAAGCATTACATTCTACACTAGACATTACAATTACAAAACAGCGATTAATATTCAAAGAGTAATGTTCAATATTGCACAGTCCTATACTCGAGACCAATGCTGGACCGTCCAGTGCTCGACAGACCAATGCTGGACCGTCCAGTGCTCGACAGACCAATGCTGGACCGTCCAGTGCTCGACTGACCAATGCTGGACCGTCCAGTGCTCGACTGACCAATGCTGGACCGTCCAGTGCTCGACTGACCAATGCTGGACCGTCCAGTGCTCGACTGACCAATGCTGGACCGTCCAGTGCTCGACTGACCAATGCTGGACCGTCCAGTGCTCGACTGACCAATGCTGGACCGTCCAGTGCTCGACTGACCAATGCTGGACCGTCCAGTGCTCGACTGACCAATGCTGGACCGTCCAGTGCTCGACTGACCAATGCTGGACCGTCCAGTGCTCGACTGACCAATGCTGGACCGTCCAGTGCTCGACTGACCAATGCTGGACCGTCCAGTGCTCGACTGACCAATGCTGGACCGTCCAGTGCTCGACTGACCAATGCTGGACCGTCCAGTGCTCGACTGACCAATGCTGGACCGTCCAGTGCTCGACTGACTAATACAAAATTAACCAATAACTTAGAGTAATACCATACTCCACAATAGCCAACGTACAAAAGTCAATAGTACAATAGCACCACTCAAATTATACTCAAGACCTCAAATCTTAACTAGCAAATTGACAGCCTAGTTTTTCATCCGGAACTTTAAATTTAGCAACGAGCAGTAACCGGACTGGCACTGGTATATTTATCCGGCCCAGGGTCTGGTGTGGACTCTGCCAATATTTGTGCTGAGAGCGAGCAAGCGCAGTAATAGCCTTCCTCTTTACACTGCTCTGCCCCTTCTGTCTGGCTGGCCTATTTTTAGTCATATTCCACTTGCATGCTAAATATTTTGTTTTATTCATTTCCCCCCTTCGCCAATGGTATCAAATGGATCACCTGGTTGAAAGAGTCAGCGTTTTTAATGAACTTCAATCACCTTTTCAAGAATCTAACGTGAAGGGAAAATTGGGTTGAATATTTGAAAACTCACGAATGTAGTCCTGGTTGATTCCAGACAAAAATGGTTCCTTTCTCAAGACATTCAGACGGGAAATATACACAAAAAATCTCTCCTCCTAGAGAGCTTCAGCTTCCTAGAACACAGGTAAAACACACTCTTAACTGCAGGACTTCAGTCACCTAGAACCAGTGGCATGCATAATTAAGAAGCAAGGCAAAACTTGCTTGCCCCATACAACAAGATTTCCTTCTGAGTGAAAATGTTTTTATACAATTGAATTTAATAATAACTAAATAGAGTATTCTGTATTTGTTTTTGTTTTTTAGGAGGGACTCAGATTTTCAAGTTGGATTTACCGCTCGAAAAATCTCTCCCTCAAACACGCAACATATTTGCCGTAACCTCGTTCCACCCTTTTCGCAGAATAAAATAATAAGTCAAGGTCAGACGAAAGATGTATAAACATAATTTAACGTGTTATTATCCACTTTTTTTCCAATAGATTGTAAATACAGTTCAGATCACAATTAAGATGTTGCGGAAAGCATTCTGATGCTAGAATGCTCCCTCAGTAATATTTGTTACCATCAACGAGTATAATTAATTTTGGAAGAAATTTTGGCATTACCAGTTCATGAAATTAAACCATAAATCCATATATGTAACACAGTAATTAGCTAAATGTTTCTTTGTTTCAGAGTTTTGTAGACTATTAAACTCATCATAATACTATTTGAATGATGACACTAGCATTTTTGAATAATATAATATATTAATAATTGGAATGAACTTGTTTCGAATGTATTAGATTTCATTATGAAAAAAAAGGCAACACGGCATGAGGCTACTGTCATCTTGCCAGCTCTCAAGCGTCTAGTGGAACTTGAATGAATGAATGAATTTTTAGGGGTAAGGACCAAACCATTTCGACTATATAGCACTTGGAAAGGGTCAGGATAAGGATTTGGGATGGGACGGGAAGGAGGAATGGCGCCCAACCACTTTCACGCTCGGGGGATTGAACGCCGACCTGCCTGAAGCGAGACCGTCGCTCTACCGTCCAGCCCAAGTGGTTGGACTTGAGAAATGATGTGATGCTGTAAGAATTTTAAGATTTGCCCCCAAACTTAAAGTGCAATCGTAAATAGAGGTAATAGTTAGGCACGTCTTCAGTTTGCAATTTGTTTGGAAGGCTTCCAGATGTGTAGATTTGTCACGTGTTTGGGTAGGGGAAGGTAAGGGAACGGTCAGGAGAAAGCGCCAAGCTATTACAACTGTATAGCACTCGGAAGAGATCAGGATAAGGATTTGGGATATGACGGGGGGGTGGGGGAGACATGTTTGGGTAACGTAATTATGATTAGGAAGCGCTAAGCAATTATGTCTATTTAACACTTGCAAGAGCTCTGAGGACGTGAAGGGTGTGGACGGAGAGAAGGAATTGTGCCCAACCATTTGGACCATCGGAGATCGAACACCGACCCGCAAGAAGCGAGACCACCGCTGTACCGATGAATCCAAGTGGTTGGGAAGTGTTTAAATATATAAGAATATTGTGTAATCTTCAGAGGAAGCCAGAATATTACAGCAAAGTTACTGGTCAGTTTGCTAGTAAGCCAAGAAGAATCCCATTGTACTGTTGAAAATGGAGAGTTAAAATATTTTGTTACTCTCTATGTTAATGGAATTAATAAAGAATTATTAATATCTATACTTCAGCTTCATCAATGATCTTAACTGTGTCATTTGCCGCCTCCTAGCAATATATTTTACACAACACGACACTGCCAAGAACACGGGTGAAAACGTCAGCTAGTCCAGGACTATGGCCATGACAACGGAAGTAAAAACTTGTCCTAGTCCACGACTACTACGACGAGATGCGCACAGCCTCGTGGGGTGAGACCCACTAACAGGAGTTACCTTGCCTCACTTCCCTTATTTTATATGAACAACTGAACCTCATGTCATTTGCCTTACCTCACGGGGTTGTAAAAAATGTAATCACGTTCTCTTATGCGTATCTTCAAGTAAATTGAAACTATTTCATTCGCTGTTGACCAACGGTTACAGGAGGGTTATAGAGTAGGGGGAAGTGTCAGAGAGAGAGAGAGAGAGAGAGAGAGAGAGAGAGAGAGAGAGAGAGAGAGAAAGGTGTAGTTACAGTGATCGAGAGAGAGGCGTAGTTAGAGGGGATAGTGAGAGGGGTAATACCTACAGGGAGAGGGGAGGAAGTTACAGGGATAGATACAAGGGGATGGGGCCGATAAATGTATAGACAGGAAGCGTAACTATTTGTACCATTCCATAAACTTATTCAGTCTATCCTCCCTTTTAAGGCTTCCCTCTTTTAACTCAGTCGACTACAGCTTTAAAATGGCTGGCCTTTAGTGCACTTAAAAGCTTCGTAATTCTGACTCTTTTCGAACAGGGCAACATTGGCATCGATTAGCTTTGTAGCTTGTGTTGCTGTGAAAGCTTCCGGTTGATGTTCAGTTGTTCTTGAGAATAGTCTTTCCTCACAGCTTTAAAAAAATAAAAAAACTTTCTACCATTTTTGTGCATACTCAAGACTCTCCTGAAGACTTGTATTTTCCTTAGTTTGTCACAGTATTCCTCTAAATGTAATATTGTCCTACCCCAAAAACTTTCTCATCTGTTGTCTCAAGATATTGTCAGCGCAAACACCTCATCTACACCAACATTTTGCAGCCCTCTGATATTAAACAAAGTCAAATAAGTTGTTAAACAATTATTTTATTTTGTAACCTTAATGAAATCAACATGCAAGTCATTAATCAACGTGTTCACTGGAGTATCTATCACATGACTATCACTCGACAACCTATCTCGTTTTCTATGCGTGAGTCGTCGGTAGGTTAAGTTAGGTCAAGTTCCTGTGTTTTAGTACACTTTTTTCTATCCGTTGTAGCAGCTCGAGAAGACGGGATACATAAACACTCATCTGGTGCCTAGTCCCATGTATCCTGACAGGATTACGGCTGGTGTGTGTGCACCAGAGGCTAAAGCCACACCCTGTTAAACTCTATAACCTAATCCCTACTCTATAATGCACTCGGCAATTGGGAACCTTCCTATCAAATTCATATATACTATAAATCCACACTAAATGAGAATTTGTCGGTAAAACACCTCAATAAGGAGGGGAAAATAAATGTATAACTGCATGATAAGTTGGTGATAAATCCTTTGCTTGGTTTCAATTGACAGTTAACATACCATTTAATATATTTATTACAATAAAAATATTCTCAAACAATATATATGTCGTACCTAGTAGCCAGAACGCACTTCTCGGCCTACTATGCAAGGCACGATTTGCCTAATAGGCCGACTGATTTTCTTTATTTTCAATAAATTGTTTGCAAATAGCTTATATGAATTATTATTATATTATATTAAGAACATAAATTATTGACTAAATTTTGTTAGGTTAGGTTAAGATTAGGTTAGGTTAGGTTAGGGTTGGTTAGGTTCGGTCATATATCTACGTTAGTTTTAACTAAAATTGACAAAAACTAACTCGTAATGAAATGGATAGCTTTATCATTTCATAAGAAAAAAATATAAAAATATTTAAATTCAGGAAAACTTGGCTTATTAGGCAAATCGGGCCTTGCATAGTAGGCCAAGAACTGCATTCTAGATACTAGGTACAACTTATATATATATATATATATATATATATATATATATATATATATATATATATATATATATATATATATATATATATATATATATATAATAATATAAATGAAAACTCCACACCGCAGAAGGATTCGAACCCAGATAGCTAGGAGCGCTATGCACCTTAGCATACCTGGTACCTTAACCACTAGACCAGCATGACTACAAAAATCTTGGTAGTCGTCAGACTATTTATCCAAGATCCGAAGGTGCTCGGTGATCAGTTTGGGCCTAGATATTTTATAGAATCACGTCACTGTGTGGGGCACGACTACCAACATTTTTGTAGAGTCGTGCTGGTCTAGTGGTTAAGGTACCAGGTACGCCAAGGTGCATAGCGCTCCAAGCTATCAGGGTTCGAATCCTTCTGGGGTGAGGTTTTTTCAGTCGCACATTCGCTTGGGGACCATTCAACCTTGTTCGCATATATATTTATATGCGAACGAATATATATATATGTGACGAATAAGACGTCATATAAGGAAAGGAAAAATGCCATGCAACCTCTGAGTCAACTAACACAACACTTGTACCCCCTATTAGACTATTTTACAGGAACTTCTTTTCGACGGCTCATAAAACGGAGGAAAGTATCCTGAAAGATATTATTAATAGGAACGTTATCCCTACAGACAAAAATCAGAAAATAGAATTGACAATTTACTATAAAAACAAGAAAACGGCCAACCTACTCATGGAAAAACTCCCCAGACACCAAACAGAACGCCTTGAAGGAAACCAACGTCGTCTATGATTTCACATGCCCACTTGGGGACTGTAAACCCCAAAGTTCTCAATATATAGGCAAGACAACAACGTTTTGGGTGGGTTATCACCTTACCCAAAAACATTTGTTATATCACCTCACCCAAAACGAATATAAGCATGATATATGTAAACCTTTCTTTGAAAATGTCAGAAACCCTTGCAAAACGCTTTTAGGCGTCAGACAATGAATAAAAAATGAGAAAATGAACTTTGGAGAGTTAATATTTCAATTACGTTTTTTTTCACTGTCGGGGTAAGAAATATCGAGAAGATTCGTGTTAGAATCATTAATCTTACCCTTTCGGTCATATTTATGTTTGCAAAAATGACAGCTAGCAAAATATATATGTATATTTTATATAATATATATATATATATATATATATA